GCAGTTTCAAATATGTGATTAGCCTATTTCAATTCACAGTGGTTTCATAAGCAGTTTGCATTGTTTCTGTGTTTCTTTTAAACATAAGTTGGAAAGATCCATGTAGCCGAAGGCAGCTGGCAATGACTATGCATTTTTGCCTACCAAGGCAAGGCAATAAAGATGAACAAATAAACAGATACATGTTCTATTATGTATATAGGAACTCTTTAATCTTTGAGGAAAAAAAATCCCTGATGGAACCCCCGCAAAAATTCGAAAAAAGTTAAACTTTGATGTTGTAGTTCAGACAACACAGGTGAGTCGGGTATTGGAGGAGCACTCAGAGTCAGAGATCATAGGGGAGAGATTCTATATTTCTATTTGCTTTTTCAGGCCCAAAAGGTGTGTGGAACTCAATAAGGACAAAACTCCAAGCAGTGCTTTAAGGTCCATGGCTAGCAAGGAATCTGGGTTTTAGAGTCATGCATATAGGAGGGGATTCACAAACAATCATTATTGGACAGTTTAAAGGCAAAATGTTAAGGACCATGGCACCATAGTCACCAGATTATGAAGCAATACATTTGGCTAATGAGATGGAAGCAGTTCTCAATAGGGTTCATCAAACTGCCATCTGATTTGGGATGAAGTAGTAAAAATGTTGTTATACTAGAAGTTGTTTTCTAGGAGTTGAGGAAAGCAGCAAGGGGCTTGCTCTATTAGTATCTTTAAGGGAATATGCAGGTTGTATAACCTTATGTACATATTTCTCCTCTATTAATAAAACATTGCTAATTGCTGACAAAAAACCAACCCTTCTGAGTTATGAACASMTCCYAAGGAAAACTAATAGGATCTCTTAGATTATGGATATCAGTGCAGCAATATTTCAGGGAATTCCTCCATGTCTCTAGTTTTGGTTTTATTACCTTTTTCAACTCATTGTTCATGGGTTCTTATATACACATTTTCTATACCTTGGCCATACAGGTAATTGTATAAGACAAATCAGTACTTTGCCATTTCGGGGGAAAATATTATGTTAATTTTTTATCAAAAATAGGAATCAAAACAAGGCATATAATCCAATCATGTGTCCAATAAGATCATTGAGAAGGATAACACCCTCCCTCCTACAGACAAGTAAATTGGATGGTYTCTATGGCAAATGAAGAAATTGCCACAAAACATTAAGTACTATGGTTTTGGGACAGAGTGCATTTGCCATTTTCTTGAGCARCAAGAGATTACATTCCCATATCCATATTAAGTTGCCAATTTGAACAAAAGGGAAAAACAAGCATGTAATCCAACCATGTGTCCAATAAGGTCTCTGGGAATAGATTCAATCCCTCCCTCATCTTACAGATGAGTAAATTGGATGGTCCCTGTAGCAACTAGCAAATGAAGAAATTGTCACAAAACATTCGATGTTTTGGTTTTGGGACAGAGTGCATTTGCCTTTTTTTTTACCAGGAAGAGAGTAAATTACCATCATTTATAGTTATGTACATAAAAAAAGGAACTAATCTGAAGATGATTGCACATTAGAGGAGTCCTGAGGTTACTCTTCAATGGAAAATGAATAAAACCTTAAAGCAGTTTTTGGAACACAAAGTCACTAATTAAAGGAAGTGCAGAGAACTAAAAAAAAACTAAAAATCAGATAAGTTTCTGGAAGTAAAGCTTCAAGATGTATCTAATAAGTGGTAAACAGCTAGAGAAAAGCATGTCTCAGTATTAAAGGAACTGAAAAATCAGCAATCAGATTCAATTGAGTGAAACTGAAAATATAATATTACAAGTATTTAGACATTTGGTTGCCTGAATCATATAGTTCAGACTCAAATAAGGAGCTACCTTGTACTCAAAACTTAACAATGAAATTTTTGGGAAAAATGTAAATCATAAAAGAAAACCAAAGCATGAGATTTCAAGGAAAAAAGATAAATAGAAGGACAGAAAAAGGTTAACATGATTAGGTATTGTATCTGAACTTTTGAACAAAAGTCCCATTGACATCAATGGACATCCATGTCAATTAACATTATCATATTAATGAGGAGTTTAAGAGGAAAAAAAAAAGAGGAATATAATAACAGAAATATCCGAGTTTAAATAAACCAGAAAAACAAACCAAAGGCAACAGAGTCCCTTGTTAAAGATCCTTTCAAGTCCCCGGCTGGGAACTTATACTAATACTAGATGTCCTATCTGACAGAGACTGGAACTGAGAAAAAAAATGTACAGAAAACATTCTTCAAGAAAATAAATAAATGAACAAATCAGTTAGTAATATCAGAAAATATGATATATGGGTATCAAAAGGATTGAACCAGTAGTAAAGGGCCTGAAAAATCAGTGGATCAGATTCAGGTGAGTGAAACTGGAACTGTAATATAGCAAGTTTTTAACAGTTTAGTTGCCTGAATCATAAAAAGCATTGAAGATCCAGACAAGAAGCTACTAATCAAGTATTAGAAAAATAGTAAGAAAGTCAAAAGATTTAATAAAGGAACTAAGAAGCGCAATAATGGAGAAGATAGATACTCAAATGTCCAAAGTCCAAATTGCGTTGTGGGTTTTCAAGAACAATGAGAAATCATGGGCAACAAGTACAAAATGAATTAACAGACCTAGAATACTAGAGATCTCAAACTTAGGCTTGAGTTCCAAAAGAAAACCACACATCTACAACAAAAATCAAAAATCAAGAGATGAATATCAGAAAAAAGAAGTCTGATAGAAACAAATTAACAAAACAAAATACACACATAACAGCATACTCCAATCCTGCAACAAATCCTACCATAGAATGGCCAGAGATGCCTGTAGGAGGCTCTCGATCTATAAACACAAAACCCTAACTCGGTCAAAATATTATGTTAAAATTGTACACAGGTATTATGGAATTTCATGTTAACCATAAACTACTAAACCAAAAATCAAATCAATAAATGACTAAATGACAACTTACACCAGATTTTAATAAATAATGACAAAATATTTGAATAATCTCTCTCAAAGGAAAAAACAAATACAAGAAACACTCATGTCGACCCAAAATGGATTAAACATATGGATCAATATATAAAGGGGGCAATTATACGTTATTTGCCTCCAATAGAATGCTTATAACCATATCATTTGTCTCATCACCCAGGTGATGGGCCTCCTTAACCACCTAGGTAATCACCTAATTGTTGCCTAGGCAACACTTGAAGAACACTAGGGCCAACTTGGAAAGTACAGCACAGCTCATTATTATTTGCTTTCTTTCTTAGGTGCAAGCTCTGAGATCTACATTGAAATTCTTACTTTCCGGTGTGTTGGTTGAACCAAATTTTCTGAAAAAGAAATTTGAAGATACTAACTAATATAACTTGTCCCAGCATCTTCTCGCATTCTATGAGATGGTATAGTTGTGCATCAATCTCAAAATAGAATTCTTCAATTTTAAGAAATAACTTTTATTGTTACCATGAAAAGTAGCGACAGTAGACACCTTATCCTGATGGCTATGTCCGTAGAGTTTACTTTGTTTCTTCCACTCAATGCAAGACAAAATGATGAAATACAAATTACTTTATTAGGAACTATTGAGTCAAAACACGGTCATGAACTTTATTGGTCTTAGCAAAACTTTGAGCATTAAAACCATTGACAAAAAATGAATTAGGTAATTTAAGCTAACAAAATATACCCAAAATAAAACGCGCTGCCAAGATAATCAAAATAATTTCTGGGCAAAGACATGAGAAGAATCCATTCTATCCGATTCAACTCCAACCTCGAGGAAAAGGGTTTCGCATGTAGAGGAGAAAGGAACCAATAAGGAATAAGAGCGCTCGATCAATTATGGATGTTTATCTACCCTAGCAGTTGTCTCAACCAGGATCTACATTTTTACAAGTAAATTTCAAGGCATCTATCTGAGATGTGGAATTGTACACTAAAACCGAATTCGATGCCTTCTTAGTTTCTATTTTCATCCCACGGTTTTGAATTCCGATGGTCTCTTCCAAGCCGAAATGAAATGCAATGATAACAGAAAAATAAATAGAACACAAAGGAGAAAAATCAAATGGACAAGTTCAAGCAACATTGCGCCACTTGGATAAGTTCAGAGAGTGATGTAAGAGACGAGTAGGTTTAAAAAAATACCCTATAAGAATTGAGTTCATTCTCGAGTTTCTCCTTCCTCTGCTCAGCTCGACGATCAACGTTGTCGGCCCATGCCTGGTCCATCCGATAAGCGGGCCCTAACCTTCCATCAATCTTCTGGACAACCTCTCTAAATAGCTGAGTATTCTCACCCTTCTTGATCTCGTCATACGCCATTCTTAACGCCTCCAACTGCATAGACTGGTTTCCACATTGATCGGCAATGAACAGAAGCCTGGTGATTTTTGTTCTCCCACTGTACAGGCTTGCGTAAGCCTCCACGTCCATCTGTTCGCTACTTATAATCGGTTTAGTTCGCTTCTCGACACCTCCATTGGAGTAGATATCCTCGATCATCGTTCCTGCACCTTCCTCCTCGGCTTCCATGGCTGTTCTACTGCAAGCCCTAATCAACTTCTCGCCCTAGGGTTCCCTTTATTTCAAGGTTTGCAGCTAATTACCTCCCTGTTGCAAACTCTGTAGATTTTCTCGCTTTATTGGCTCGTCTATGTGAAGGGTTTGCTTTAGTTTTCCTCCACCGAAGCCTGTCTCTACTTCGGCCTTTCTATGCCGATGAAGGGCATCAGTGGCTCAGTGCCAAACCCAAAATCACAACTATCAAAGTATCAATCACCAAACCGGCAAACCCCTCCCTCCTCGCGAGTAGTCGCGCCTCTCCAACGTTGATCCGTTTCGGCTTATGCCTTTATGGAGGTGTTCTTAACAGTTAACATAATACAGGCGATATGAGATGGGTCGGATCAGAGTGTATCTATTCTTTACCCATATTGTACAGATGACCCAATGTCCCAAATCAGTATTCCGACTCCTATCACTTGAGCTCTCATTAGGCTCAAAGCTTCTTTTTTTTCATTCGGATTGGGGTTTTTCTATGATGGACCCGATACAAACAGATCATTTCGACCCCCTACTAAAGATCCCCTATACCTTAATTTGCGACAAATACCTCCTGAATTTTAGCCGTTAGACAAAGATCTCCCTTATTAATGTTCTCACAGTTAACTTCGAAAAAGATTTCATTCAGTTGTTTAAAGCTTTTTAAATCCCCAAATTATCCTTTCTTATTTATTTGAAATGTGAGAAGACATCACCAATCAGATCACCATGGATTTCATTGACCACGTCAGTGATTGATTTGTTCAATTCTCTTCAATTAATGATTTCTATCATGGAAATCCACATAAATGGAGCCAGCAAGATCGTCCTATTCTACTATTTGTGTGAATAACCGGTGGTGAATGTTGAGGGTAAGTGGTCATTGGCACTAATGGGGAGTAGAAGTGGAAGCAAGGGAGAGTAGAAAATGGTGATTGGCGAGCAACAAAGACAGGGGAAGAGAATACGAGTATTAGAACATGTTAGGGTTTAAGAGAAATGGGTAATGAAAAGAAAATTAAAAAAAAAAAATCATGTGGATATTTTGATAATTTAATGCATTTCATCATATATGACTTAACGGTTAAGGAGTATTTGCCCTACTGTAACAGTTTGGAGGAGTCTTTATTGCAAATTAAAATATAGAGGCTCTTTGTCACTAACCCCATAGTACAAGGGGGTTTTTGTAATTTACCCTAAAATTTTATCCAAAAAGAGTCCAACTATCATCCATTCACTAATATGTATTGCACCTTAAATGAGATTTCAAACAATCATGTTATCATATGGTTTATTTATCTTTTTATTTGTACATGTTTTATAACTACCAAAATTTCAACTAATATTTAAAGATGTGGCTAGTTCACGTTTTTGTTGCAGCATGCATCGTATATTTTGCCATAAATCATTAAAAAAAGGTAAATTATAGATCATTACCTTGTATTTTAGGGGGTAATTTCCATTACCCTAACTTTCATATTTTGGCAAGGACCCTAACCCCTCCATTAGCATTCTGCCATTTAACTGTGAAAAAGATTCTCATATAACTACTTAAACTTTTCTAAATTCCCAAACTATCATTTTCTGAAGGTTTTCTAAAACAAGTGTTTGGATTCAATTTAGTGTTTTTTTTTTTTTTTGGGGGGGGGGGGTCCATTTGTTATTGGTTTAGTTGATAAAAGTTGCATGTTGTGTTTGTTGCAATTCCAAGTTTTCATATAAGTTTCTCTTTTTATTTTTATTGTAGTTTCCATTTTATAGAAGCTTCTTTAGTGGGTATTTTGATGAATCAACTTCTTCATCACTCAACTTAACAAAGGGGGATTTGTTTGAATCTAGAAGTTTAAGGGGTCATTGTCACAAACGAAAATTCAAAGGCAATTGCCACTACCCCTAAAGTACAAAATAGTAATTTACCTGTAAAAAATAGGGTTTCTAGCTGATAAGGGCAACTTTTTGCCCTGAATATCAATATTTTTTATAAAATAATTAAAATATGGTAACTTTTTTAGAAAAAAATATCAAAAAAGGGCAGGTGATACTATTCATCGTCTTCCTTTACTGCTCTCTCAAGAGGAAGACGATGGAATGATACAAGCGTGTCAAACCGTGACCCTAATTATTGTATCCTGAATCACACCGCATAACTAAACATTTCTCTCTCCAGGCCCCACCCCGCTACAAAGGAATTAAAAGAAAATTACTAATTAGATGCTTACCTGCAATAGCAAATGGACGACCGTTTGCTGACAATGGCAGCCACAAGTGTGGTGCAATCTATGTTTGTGTGAAAAGAAGGCCTGGGCGACTATAGTAGCACCCAATCAGTGGCATTCACATCCACCCCGCACTGCCATTTAACAAGGCAAAGAGATTGAGAGGTAATACACCCAAACTGCGATCTATTCGAGAAGGTGATGCTTGATTTTGCACTTGAAAAGGGTAATCATGGGGCTGGTGGGTTCTATGCCTTGCATTGTGCAGCTCGCCAAGGCAATGTGGATGCAGTTCATCTATTAACCAGTAAGGGCTACGATGTCAATGTACCTGATAGGCTACGATGTGCCTTGCATTGTAAAATGGGTTTTTGATCGCCTATTGCTATAAAATATTTTCTTGGGTGAGAAAAGAGAAGGAAGATGATGAACACAGAGCCATTGCCCTTATTCAGGGCAAAAATATCATTCCATCATCTTCCTCTTGCGAGAGCAGCAGAGGAAGACGATGAACAGTATCACGATCCTTTTTTGATATTTTCTAAAAAAGTTACTATATTTTAGTTATTTTATAAAAATATTACTTTTATTGATATTCAGGGCAAAAAGTTACCCTTATCTGCTAAAAACCCTAAAAAGTATCTAAATCATCATTACTTGATCCATTCATAACGATACTAGGCCTATTCTATAATGTGCATAGTGAAACCAATTAACTATGGTTTATTTGGTTGTAGTGGAAACTTAGTGATCAAGTCATGCTAACAACAAGGGTTTAGGGGGTATGGTCATGAGGGTTTGCTTCCCTTGTGTAGCCCTACCCCATAGATTTAAAAACTTATAAAAAAAAGTATGGAGTGATTGAACTTATTGCTTTTAGGGTAATCAACTAGTAGGGTTAAATGGTAAACTCACGTTGACCCACTATCATGTTAGGTTAAGCCAGAATTAAGGTAAACCCATAGCAAACCTGGTCGGTTGACATTGTGGCATTAAAATATTTGACTGGGTATAGATGTCCTACATGTGAGGTGGGTCAAATCAAATTCATGTTTCATTTTAAATTTGATTGGCTATAATCTTAGATCATTAGTTTTTTTTTTTTTGTCAAGTTTGGGTTGAACCAAACCCATACCTAACTAAATATATTAACATCTCTAGTTACTCTTATCATTTAGTGAATAAATCATTAAGCTAAGGTGGCCCTCTAAACAGCGTGGAAAAAAACAAAGATGCTTTTTTAATCTTCAAGGGACATTTAATAAAACATCCTATTGACTATACTTTAATGATAACAAACACAAAATTGAAGGTATTAATGTGTTTGAACCCAAAAAGGCATGCTTCTATACCTTTTTGGGCTTAAAAGTTGAACGAAATTCATGTTTACATCTATTGGGAGGTAAGAACTTGTTTCCCAAATATTGAAAATAAAAATTTTCAAAATATCAATTATGGGAACTTAAGAAATCAAGTAATAAGACTAAGGAGTTGACTACATATGATTGGGTAAGTGAATAGTGCTCATATAATTAACTAGTTATAACAACAAATCGATTAGTTAAATCTGGAGAATTTGGTCCCATATAGGAATTGACTAATTATGCTATATAAATCAACTAGTTGATCAAACTATCAAACATGAACAATCAAGTAGTCGAGTAGTTAACATAACCAAACAATTACTTTGCACGAAAAATCTCTAGTAATACATAACAACTAGTTTTGAACTTCAATGGCTCTTTCCTCTTTGGATTGGCTTGAAATTACTTGGAAATCATTTCTAAACCTCTTTTAATGTGGAAACGTGATGAACTAATGGATTTTAAAAGATCATGTTTTTGAACGTTTGAATCATATATATAAAATACTGAATAAAATATGATTGAATAAGGAACCTAGTGTAAGATCTTGACATATCTTGAAAAAGAAGATAAAAATTAAAGGAAATAACTTAAGTGAACCAAAAGTTTTATCATTTCAAAATCCCTTGACCTAGAGAGAGAAAGAGAGAGAGAGAGAGAGAGAGTTAATAATGTGCGACTGAATTCCAATGAGTCCATTGAGCTAAGCTACACATTATCAAATATTATTTGTTGAATTAGTTCGATTATATTTGATATGTTTTCATTAAAGAGGCATATATCTGTTGGTTCTTATTGTATACATCATCATATGTGAAGGATTTTGATAGCATTTAGAAGATATTTCTTGTTAGGGTTTTACAACTAGTTGGTGTTTAGTGTGTGAATACCAGTACAAGGTTAAGTATCGCCTTGAATCTATCGATTAGCTAGGGGGATTCTTTTTTGTTAGTCTATAAGTTGTGAACACCGATGGAAGGCTTGAATAGTGCTATTAAACTATTAAGTTCTAAATGGTTTTGCAAGCACCCAATTAAGTCCAACTAATATAGTGGATTGGAATTATTAGGTGATGTGCATGGGGAGAGGGTGTGGGCCAAGAGAGCAAAATAGGGGCAGAGTCAGAATTTTTTATTGAGGGGGCCAAAAGCCAATATGATTACTTAAATACCAATTCAAATAAATCTAAACATGATTCTAAATATCAAAATAATGAATTCTATTATTTATCAATTATAAAATATTTAATTAGGTATTTATCTAATTTATATATTATATCATGAAAATTTGAAAGTATAATGAATACAAAAAAAGCCTCCTCACTTTTTAAATTGGGCTCATCGCTCTTTCATCAAGTAGAAATCATCAATAATCATGTCTACCATGAAATTTTCAGCAATTTCATTCTCAA